GCCTTAGCCACTTGAGCCACAGGCGCCGAGCCTTAAGCGATTCTCTTGCCTCAGCCTCCCAAGTAGCTGGGAATACAGGCATCCACCACAATGCCCGGCTATTTTTTGGTTGTAGTTGTCGTTGTCTGGCAGGCCAGGGCTGGATTTGAATCCGCCAACTCTGGTGTATGTGGCTGGCGCCTCAGCTGCTTGAGCTACAGGTGCCACCAGGCCCAGGTTTCTTTAGACTGTGGTAACTGAAGGACAGCTCCTGCTTCCCAGGGGCAACCCCTATCCCAAGTTTGGGAAAGTCTCTGCTCACCTGCTGGTCTGTCTTCATGAGTGAGGCCCCAGCCTCCACGATGTAGTGGCAGATGGTGCGCTGGCCCAGGGCTGCGGCCTGGTGCAGACAAGTCTCCCCACTGTGGGAACAGGGGCTGGCTGTGGATCCCACCAGTCCTCTGGGCCCACCCACCTGTCTCCCAATGGTCATCAGAAAGGGCAGGAAGTTCAAGTCCCTGAGGGGAAAGGTGGTGGCCCAGGGGATGAAAGATGGCCAGGAAGAGTTGAAGGGCTCTGACCTGACCAAATGGGAGGGGTTGAAGGAAGCCAGGGTGGTTTCCAGAGTAACCAGGGTCCTGTACTGCCCAGATACTCACTTTTCTTCCACAGCATCAAGGATCTCTGGAGGAGCTGGAGGAGGGGAGGGGTGATCAGAAACACAGCCTCCCATCCTCCCACCTTGGCCCCAGACCCTGGGCCCCAGTAGCACAGCTCACCATGGTCCAGCAGGTAGCGGACCACCTCCTTGCTGCCGGTGCCGACTGCATGGTGGAGGAGTGTGCGGCCACGCTCATCCCGGTGCATGATGTCACCCCCAGCTCGGTGCAGCTCCTGGAGCTGAGGGGAGGCAAGGCAAGGCTGGGCCTCCTAGGGCCATCCCTCCTTTCCCTTAGCTCACACACGGGCCCACATACATGTACACTTCTCTGGAGGTATAAGGGGCCTCTCTTACCCCAAGGGCCCATGGGCTTCCCTACAGCACTGACAGCTAGTGATTCCTTCTAAGACACGCTCCTTTCTAAGCACTGGGGAGAGGCAGACTGAGCCAGGCAGCCCCTACAGGAGACATTTATTGTGGCATGGACAGACAGGGCAAGGTGGAATGGGGTGATCACTGTGGAGACCTCACACAGGGCCAGCAATGATAGATGACAGCACCCGAACAAATCAGCTCTTGGCCCAACCCGGAGGCCCCACTCCCTAGAGCTTGAGGGTACTGCCAAAGGGAAGAAAAGGCTAGAGCCCTGGGACTGATACCTTACAAAAGTCGTTCCTCTTGGCAGCCTCAATCAGCTCTTCACCTGCACAGAACACCTGCCTGTTACTCTGTAGTCGGACGCCCAGGCTTGTGTTGGTGCACAAATGTATGTGGGATACATCACAAGTATGTGCAGAGAGGTGTGCCTGCCAGGGCGTGAGTACCAGGGCTGGGCCGCGTGAACACATGGAGTGGCAGCTATGTGTATGTGAGGCTGTGTGCAGGCCCTGCCCCATCCCACTGAGCCTCACACCTCTGATTAGGCAGAAAGGAGAAGCCCTGGTGGGAAAGGCCTCACCTTGAGGGGGGGCGGCATCCCCTTGCAGTGACCTGCAAACAGAGCAGCAGGAGATGTGACTGGTGATAGCAGGCTCAGCTGGAGACCCTCCCCAACCCCAACTGGGGCGCCTTTCATTCTTTTAGAAGTTTATTGAGTGCCTACTGTATACCAAGTGCTATGCTGGAGGTATAGCACTGGAGGTACAGCAGGGAGCAGACAGATGGAGAACTTGCTCTCATGGAGCTTATATTCTAGTGCAGGGAGACATACAAGTTGACAAATAAAGTGTTCTGAGAGGTGGCCAGAACAGGATAATGCAGGTTAGTGTCCATGGGGAGGGTGGCTCCCTCATATGGCCTCATGGGACAGACCTCTCTGACAGGGAGACAGCCAGACTGAGATTGACGGCAAGGTCAAGACTCAGGGTGGGCCAACCTGAGGCCTCTTGGGGATGGACATACACCAAGTGGACATAAACCACTACCAGGTGGCCATTATAGCAGCCATAGCTAGGGAGAGGACATGACCAGAGCACTGCTGACACAGGAAGCTCTGGGCTGGGGAGTGGCCTGGTCTGACTTGCAGTTTTAGTGGGGGCCAGGGCATGCTAGCTTGGACAGACTGATGGCCAGGGGATGGGGAGGAATGGTTGGGGTGGGGAGACAGTTGGAAGGACCTGCTAAAGGATCAGGTTGAGGGCAAGGAGAAGTCAGGGAGGGAGCCCCAGTCTGTGGCCTGAGCAGCAAGGTGGAGCTGAGGCCCAGAGCTCATTGGGGGGCTTTGACTAGGTTCAGACTGATGCTATTTAGTGACCTGGTAGAGGGGCTAGGCAGGCAGTGGGCTGGGGCTGGAAAGCCAGGCGATGGAGGAGCCAGGGCACCGGGACTCACCGGGGCGTGGGAGAGCAGGGTGAGGTGGGGAGAGGGGAAGTAGGGGTTGGAAGGTCAGGCCGGGCTGATGCCCCCAGCAGCTCCGGGTCCAGGATATAGATCTCGTCTTGTGCAATCTCAGTCACATAGTTGAGGTGTTCCTGTGGGGGGAGGTTGGGGCTGGGTGTCAGGGTGCCTGATATTAGGGGCTAAAGGGCTTCAAGGCTGGCAGGCCTGAAAAAGCCTTGGCTGGAAACATGAACACTGAGGGAAGTGGCCAGGTGAGAGCTCCCACCCTTCTCCCCTCCTCTACATTCCCACCACCCCACCCAATCCCTGGCCTCTGCACTGGACCCTTGCTAGCCTCCCCCTACTGATGAGCCTTGCCCTGGTGAACCTGGCAACTGGCCAGAGGTGTCTTCTCTATCTACCTGGGTGGCATTGTGCTTTGAGGCCTTCCTGCCCACTCAGTAAGCCTTTTTTTGAGTACCCCGGCTCCCTTATCCTGCTGGTACCATCCCTGTACACTCTGGCCTGGAGGGCAGAGCCAACCCTATCCCAGGACATAGACAAGTGTGAATGTACTATAGGATATGAGGACAGAGGTGAACTTGTCCCTGGAGCTAACAGGGAGGGCTTCCCAGGGGAGGTGACCCTGGAGTCCAAAGCCAGCTGTGTGGATGCAGCAGGCCTGAAAGCACTCACCTGGGCTCGGTCGATCCTATAGAAGCGGCTAGCAGTGGTGGCTGTGGGAGAAAGAGCTGGCTGAGGATGACACAGGTCTTATCTAGGCCCAGATCCTCTGCTTCCCAAGGCTTCCCAAGGAGGGGGCAGGACAGAACCTGGGATTGCCAGGGGTTAACTCTTTAGATACTCACCGTCCAGAAAGCACCACTTAGGGGACAGTTTCTGGCACGTCAGAGACTTGGCTTCAGCACCATCAGGTTCCTGTTGAGAGAAGCAAAGGCTGGGCTGGGAGGGAAGGGAACTTGGAGCAGGGGGGAACAGCAGGGGTGGCTCTCGAGAGCAAGCTCAGCTGGGGAGGAAATGTCCCTGCCCACCCTCTCTACCTGCTGGAGCCTCTCGATGAGAGCACGGCAGAGCTCCAGGTCACTGTCTCCAGGGACCACCACGGTGCCTAGGGGCACAGCTGGAGGACAGAGCAGCTGTCAACAGCTAGCTGCGTCCACCCCTTCTGCCCTAGGCCTCCGCCTGCCCCGATCCACTGCCACTCACAAGCCTCCTTGAGCTGCTCCTTATCATAATGCAGCGCCTCGTAGTCGTGCATGCTGACTCTGCTCACCTGGATCCGCAACTGCTCCGGAACAGGCTGCTGGCTGTTGGGTGGGGCCAGTGAGAGGGGCTTCAGCAAAGGGCAGAGGCAGTCCTTGGCCAGATAGCAAACCCAGTGTGGAGAGGACATCCTGCCCCACTCCCAACAGCCCTGGACAGAGGGACACCAAGTCCAGTGGGAGGCTGGATCTGACCTCAGCACCCAAGGCATGTGGTGGTAAGGGTGGGACATACTCGCTGTGCAGTGGGGCAGCACTTCGCCGCTTGGCTTTCTGCACCATGGTGGCCTGGTTGCGCAGGGCGATGCGAATGCGTGAGGCTGTGAGCTTGCAGGGCTCACCATCTACCTGCACTGGGATGGCCTTGGACGTGGTGAGCACTACCTCACGACACTGAGTCAGTCGCTCGCCATGGCCACCCACCTGCAGTGCAGCCTGTGGGCATAGGAAACTCAGGTCAGGTGGGTCCTCCAAGTTCTGCTCCTCCCAGGGAGGCTCTGGCCAGAGAACAGAGATGAGAATGACCCCAGTCAGAGTACAAAGGGGAGGGTGAGACCCCAGCCATGTGGGTGTGAGGACCAGAGGCAATGAGGGTACTTTCCTAGTCAGAGAGAGGTGTAAAGCCTTCTTTTTAGACTTAAAAGAGGAGAAAAGGTAAGAGTCACTCCCTCAGTCAGAGAGGGGAGAGAGAAGGGAGATAGGAGTGAATTCTGCTACCCTGGTCAACAAAGGGAAGTGTGGATGACCCCCTTCCAGCTTCAGGCTGTGCTCCCAGGCATCACGGGCTCAAGGCCCACTCACCAAGGATGTCATGGTGAAGCCAATGACCTCGAGGTAGCCATCATCATGCCGCTGGGGCTCAAAGTCATGATGCTCCCCAGGGTGGCCCCAGGGCATGGTGCCTGCACAGTACCTGGAAGGCAGGGTGATGGGAGGGCTGCAAAACAGTCTCTGCAGGGTAGGGACACAGGGCGGACAGAGCCCTCCCTTCCTCACCTGGGGATGTTCAGGAAAACAATGCACTGGGGTTTCAGGTCCTGAATCTTGGGGGTCAGGTCAGTTCCGTCACACTGGAGGCAGAACAGGGGAGGGTGTTGGGGCCTACACATGCCCTCCCTCCCCACTAGGCCACCAGCTGTCTCCACCCTGCTCACCACCACTCGGATGTGCTTGGCCAAGTCCTTGGAGCTGCCCATCAGGAAGTCAGAGAAGGCTGTCTGTGGGAGACAAGAGGATGTCACCATCTGGTGGCAGAGCCCTTTCCTCACCACCACCCAGCAAGGCTCCTGTGGCCTAGTGCATGCAGGTGGGCAGGGGTTTATGTGGTAGATTAGGTGGGTGTAGAAGGGAAGGGTGGGCAGACCCTAGACTCACCCCGGCATAGAACATCTTATTCCGAAAGCGGCTGTTGAATTTCTCTGGATTGGCCTCTGGGGAAGATGAGATGTCGGGAGAGTTAGCCATTCTGAGCCTGCTGGTGCCTCCCAGCTACCTCCCAGCTTGGGGTATCAAGGGAGAGCTGGGAGTGAACAACTTTCATTGGTGGGAACGAGTCTGACCCTTATCAGGGACACCCTATTCCCATCCCCAGGCCCTAAGAGGAGGCTGCCCACCTCGAGACTCATGAAACTCCAGAGTGACATGGGCATCAAAGCCCAGGCTGAAGTAGTTGTTGAAGACGTCCAGGGGCAGCTGGAAAAAGGCCATGGGACCAAAATGAGGGCTTAGCCTCACAGATGTCCCCTGCTCCAGGGGCCCAGCTGTGTCATGCTTGCTAAGCCTGTCCAATTTCAGAAGCCTTTCCCATGGTCAGCAGTGCCCACCAGAGCTATGCCCAAGATGGTGGGGCTTGCCCACATGCTGGTGACATTTGTTCCCTTCTGGGTCCCCCAGCACTTCTTCCTCAATTGTCATGTACTGAGGTCTGTGAGGGTGGGGACGTTGTTTTGCTCACTGCTTACCGCAGTGCCTGGCAGATAGTAGGTACTTGGTAGATATTTGATGAATAAAAAACTGTTGTGTGAGGTTAGTACCTTTATTCCCATCACACAAAGGAAGAAGCAGTTTAGAGAAACAATCAGACTTGGCTAAGGTCCCAGAACAAGCCAGTGGGAAAGGGGGGCCCCAGCCCAAGTCTCCTTGGAACCCCAGATACCCTGGCCTTGCCCCATCCTGCCCAAGCTACCCTGTCAGTGGCACCCTCGTCTCGCTCCTCAGGCCCTGCGTCTGGGTTAGGCTCAGCATGGAGGTCCCAGCGGTCCAGCTGTACTACATTCCCCTCCTCTACATGAGAGAGGATCTTCGACACAGGCTCATCTGTGTAGCCCTGGGGGAAGGAAGCAGGGACTCAGCCCCTCCTGTAGTTGGAGACCCCCTGCTGTACCACCCACTCCTCCTGTGGGTGCTTACCCCACCCCAGTTGAGGGTGCGGGCCAAGTCATTGCCAGTACCCAGGGGCAGGATGGCGACAGGGGGTGGCGGTTTTAAGCGCAGCTGGTCCAAGGTAGAGAGAATCCAGCCGACCTGAAGGAGGGCAGGGCAGAAGAGGCCAGGTCAGGCCCAGCAGGGGCCTGGGCTGCAGGCCTGACCTTCTATGGTCTGGCTTGGTGGGAAGAGCTCACCGTGCCGTCACCTCCACACGCCAGGATCCGCAGGTTGTGCACTTTGCGGTACATCTCCAGTCTGAAGTCAGGGCAGATAGAAATGGGGTCAGGGGATGCATGCTGTCCCACAAGAGCCAGGCAAGCACCCTCCACTGGCCCCCACTAAGCCTTGGGCAGTACTTACGCCTCTTTGGGCCCTCCCTGGCTCAGGTCAAAGACTTGTCGGGGATTGAGATACCAGAGGAAGGACTGGATGATCTTAGCGCCCTACGAGGGACAGGGAGCCAAGAAGTGTGGGGAGGGCACCAGAGGGCAGGAGGGAAGGGCAGAGATACACATAGGGAGAAGGCTGTGGCTATGGAATCAGGTCCGATAAGGGTGAGGAAAGTCCTACCCTGCAGGGGTGGAGGCAGGGTAGGACTTTCTCAGAATCCCTGGAAAGAGAGACTGAGGCAGAACTGGAAAGGGATCCTGGGGGACAGTTGCAGGCAGATGGGGTGACCTCAAGCCCTACCCAAAGCTCTCAGTTGAAAAGGAAAGCTATGCTTACCTGGTTGCCCCCACTCTTGGGGTTCACAAACACCAGCAGGGGCTTCATGAGGGGAGAGGGGGTAGGCCTAATGATGAAGGGTCTCCAGCGGCCCTCCTTAGAGACAGAGAGAGCTCATGAAGCCCTTTCCTGTCCTGGAGACCCTACCTCCATCCTCAGTAGCCCTCTAGGTGACACTTTATCCTTCTTAGCATACCCTCATATACCAGTTCTGGGCTAGACCTCATGGTGAGCCAGGTCCCAAACAGGTGACTGGGATTTCATCTCCCACCCTCCTCGAGGGCCTCAGAGCCCAAACTGGTCCATTGAGAGCTAGCAGCATCAGCCCCAGGGGCTCTGAACTCTGAGAAACACATTCCTCTCCTGCTCCCAGTCCCAGGTCTAACCTCAGGCCCTTTCTTGCTAGATTTTCTCTTGAAGGATGCTCGCTTCTTCTTCTTGCTTGCCTTGAGGGTATTCTATAAGGGAAGCAGAGGCGAAGGTGAGTAGGCTGGGGTGGCTAGCAGACCCCAAGCATGTGGAGGGTGTTAAGGGTACAGGCAGGACTCACCTGGGGCCTGCGGGCACGGAGGATCCAGGTGGGTGGGATGACCACAGCTGCATGGACACCTAGAGAGCAGGGTTCCTCGATCTGCTGCAGCATGAAGCAGGACACCTTGCTGTGGTACTGGAGGAGGGGGAGGGGCTGCACTGAGGTGCACGCTCGAGCCTCAGGACCCAGACCTAGACCCAGACCCAGGGCCGGGGAAGCACACTCACTGCTTGCTTGCACCAGGAACAGCTGATGGCCACGATCTCCTTGCTGTGGAAGGCGAACTTCTGTTGGAAGCCCTGTGAGTAGACAGGATGGCTGGGGCATAGGAGGGCTAGAGGCAGCTGACCTAGCCCTTCCCCGATTACCAGCCTCTGTCCAACCAAAGAAGCTGAATACATTTTTAAAAATTAAAATAATTATAAAGTGGGTGGGCACAGTGGCTCAAACCTGTAATCCCAGCACTCTGGGAGGCTGAGGTAGGTGGACTGCCCTGAACTCATAGGTTTGAGACCAGCCTAAGCCAGAACGAGACCCTGTCTCTAAAAATAGCCAGGTGTTGTGGTAGGTGCCTCTACTCCCAGCTACTCGGGAGGCTGAGGCAAGAGAATCTCTTAAGACCAAGAGTTTTAGGTTGTTGTAAGCTGTAATGCCACAGTACTCTACTGAGGGTGATAAAAACAAACAACCCCCCCCCAAAAAAAAAAAAACCCTATAAAGCAAGCCCTTAAAGCAGTGGTGCTCCTTAGCCAGGGGCCTGTGAGTCTTTGCAGTTAACTGTGAAGCACCAGCAGCATCACAGGCTCACTTCTGCCTCACTCCCCTCCCCTCCCCCAAGCCTGGCCATATCCCCCCCATGTGCTCTCAAACTAACTGTTTGCTTCTTTAGAGTACCTATGGCTTCCATTCCCTGTTCATTCCAAAAACTGTTCTCGAGGGCTTCCTAAGTGCCAGATGCTGTGTCAGACATGCAGAATAAATGGAGGCGTGAACTTCTACTCCCTTTTCAATTAATTGTTTTTGAGACAGAGACTCACTTGGTCACCCTTGGGAGTGCTGTGGTATCTTAGCTCACAGCAGCCTCAAACTCTTGGGATCAGCCTCCCAAGCAGCAGGGACTACAGGTGCCCGCCACTATGCCCGGCTATTTTTTAGAGATGGAGTCTTCCTCTGGGTCAGGCTGGTCTCGAACCTGTGAGCTCAGGGCAGTCTACCCACCTCAGCCTCCCAGAGTCCTGGGATTACAGGTGTGAGCCACCATGCCCAGCCTCTGCTTCCTTTAAAAAAAAAATTTTTTTTTTTTTTTTGAGATAAGGTCTCACTGTCGCCCAGTGGCACAATCATTTACAGCAACTTCAAACTCCTAGGCTCACGTGATCCTCCGGCCTCAGACTCCCAAAGTGTTGGGTTTTCAGATGTGAGACACTGCACTGGGCCACCTATACTCCTTTTTTATTTTGAAACAGAGTCTCAAGCCATTGCCCTGGGTAGAGTGTTGTGGTGTCATAGCTCACAGCAGCCTCCAACTTGGGCTCAAGTGATTCTCTTGCCTCTTGCAGTTTTTCTATTTTTTCGTAGAGATGGGGTCTTAGACCAGCTCAGGCTGGTCTCAAACTCGTGAGTTCAAGCAATCCACCTGCCTCGGCCTCCCAGAGTGCTAGGATTACAGGCATGAGCCACCATGCTCGGCCCCATTCCTCTACTCCTTTGAGAGCCTCTGCTTACTGAGGGAGATAACAAAGGGTAGACAAGTAAGTGGACAAAAGAACTGTGGCCTGTGCTAGAGGAAGAGGGTCTGGAGAGTTTGTCTTTGAGCCAGACTGTCCTTAGGAGGGTGGGAAACCACTGCCCTGCTCAGCACTCAGCACACAATACACACTTAACAAGTATCTGCAGAGTTTAACAAATAAGCAAGTCTATAATTTCAAAGCAGACCAGACACACTGCATTAAAAGAAAACTTTCCTCCCTACTCTTCTGCTCAGCCCAGAAACCTAGAACAGGCCACTGTTGCCAGGCTGGGAGTCAGCCCTGGGGCTCTGCACTTGGGAGCCTAGTCAGTAATGGACAGGCCATGCTGGATACACAGCACAGGCTCAGGACCCCAGGTCCCAGGGACAACAGCTGGCGACGTCCTTGAGCAGAGCCTCTCACCTTCCCACAGTGCCGACACTTGCCGTCCTGGCGTCGCCTGTGGACCCAGTGGTGCCGTACAAACGTTGGCTGGAGGAGGAGGGGAGAAATGTCACTGGGGCGGGTGAGAACTCAGAGCTGCACGAAACTCTCCACAGTCACATGAGGAGCTGAGGAGGGGCTGAAGACTTCTCTCCCCAGCCCAGAAAGAAGGCTGAGACTCAGGGAAACAGAGCTATGAGGCAGTGCTGTCCCACCCCTCTGCAGGCAGGACCAGCCAGCCCTCTTGAGGAGACCTCAGAGCCTCAGCCAGGCAGCTACCGGAAGCCAAGGCGTAGGACTCAAGCCCCCTGGTGGCACTTGGAGGCACTGCGATGAGGTCCACTCACGAAACTTGAGGCATCCCTGTCCTTGACCACTTTCGGTACTTACTTCGCGAACGTTCCTGGAGCCTGATTCCCGGAAGGATGGCTTACAGCGGAAATTTATCTGTAAAACAATGAAGTGACCACCAAAATGTCAGAACTTCCCTTCGGTGTAGACATGTGGTCAGCCCTCCAAGGTTATGCAGTGTCATCCTCACAAGGGAGAGATACCCCCAAATCATGGTGAGAGCCCTCAGAACATGGGATCCCTCCTCTCAGAAGCCCTCTCACATCCCTGTCCTCCCCACTAGCCAGATGGAATCCTTCTTTCCTCTGCCCAGTAGCCCTCGATGGGGAAAGACCGGGAGTTCTGAGTCTCTCTTCCCCACTGAAATGGGATCGTGGTGTGCTCATTCTTCTGGTCCTCTTTGCCCTCCAGTGCTCCCCACCCAGGAACATGCAGCCAACCCAAACCTTCCTGTGGACTTGAGCTGACTGGACTAGGAGACCTTTAGATAATGCTGCACTTTGGTTTGATTTTTACCTCAGATGCTAAGTCTATAATACTTAGAGCTGGATTTCCTTCTCCCCACTTTTTTCTTTGTTCTTTAAGGGTAGCTCTCACTGTGATGTCCAGGCTGGAGTGCAATGGCTATTCACAGCCCTGGTCATAGCTCATTGCAGCATTGAACTCCTGGGCTCAGTCTCCCAAGTAGCTGCTGGGAACACAGGTGCCCACCATTGCACCTAGCTGGGCTGCACTTCTATTTCCCTTTTCCTAACTGGCCCTACTTCAGTCTTAGAAGAGGTGTACCTCACCCTGAAGCCCAACAGGCTGGGGAAAGCAGCTGGCTTAGTGCAAGCCATTCCTAGTCTTCCTAGTGTGCTGGCCTGGTTTCTGCAGGCTATGGATCCCTCATGTCTCATGCAAACCCTTTTACCCTTTGCCCTGACCTGCATTCCCAACGTCTTCTATCCCCCTCCAGAAGAACAGCAGACATGCCCCCAGCGGCAGACATGCTGTGGACAATGGTCCTTGGGGAAGGTTTCTACAGAGGCAGCATGTAGGAGACCAGCCCAGCCACAGCTAAGTTATGACACTTCAGTAAATCAATGGCCTAGTGTAAATGTTAGTTTGGACATGATGAGATGGTATATCTGCCATCATTACTTTATTCCATCAAGTGAAAGCCAGTGAACCCACTCTGTGTCAACTTGTCCTAGGCAGTGGGGATACAAAAAATGAGGGCAACTGGGATTCAAATGGGGGCATGTTGGCTGCAGGGTTCTTGACTCTTGATATCACTCCGTTGCCCTGGTAGAGTGCCATGGCATTATCGTAGTTCACAGCAACCTCAAACTCCTGGGCTCAAGTGAACTTCTTGCCTCAGCCTCCCCAATAGCTGGGACTCTAGGCACCTACCTCAACACCTGGGTAGTTTTTCTATTTTTAGTAGAGATGTGGTCTTATTCTTGCTCAGGCTGGTGTCGAACTCATGAGCTCAAGCAATCTACCTGCCTTGGCCTCCCAGAGTGCTAAGATTATAGGCTTGAGCCACTGTGATTAGATGGGTCCTTGACTCTCTACCACCATGCATGCTGGGTCACTCCTGGCAGGCAATATAATACGTGTGTGTGTGTATATGTGTGCACAGCCATATGCACATGTACTGAGAAAGATTCAATACCCAAGCAGAAGAGTGGGAAAGGCCAAATAATCACATTCACCTTCTCCAGCTGTTCGATGCAGGGTGTGTGTACCACGATCTTGCAGGCTGCGCACTTTCTCCGGGACACTGATTTCTGTTGCAGGATAGAAAGAGCCTCTAAGGCAACAGGCAACTATCCTGGATGCTGCTTCTGGGAAGGCCCTCTGTGTGCTAAAAACAAGCCCTCACCACCCTCACCATCTTGGGGCAATCCACAGTGGGGGTGCTCAGGTGAGGGCTTATACCTACCTGCAGGAAAAGGTTTCAGGGGTCAACCCACAGGCTCCACCACCAGGGGGCAGCATGCCCCAAATGGCTTACTCACCAGCATCTTGGCTACACAGTACTGCTCCCCCACATAGCAGAAGTCCCCAGACACATTGGTCTCGAACCAGATGTGCTCCCCATACGTCGCTGACTCCTACACCAGGAGATAAGCATGCTCAGTACATGCCTGCTGCTCAGCCCTGCCAACAACCCCCACTACCCTTTCCCAAGACAGACCTTCTGCTTCCAATTTTATTCTGTCCTCCCCCACTATCCCTAGTCTTTAAGGCTTGGCTCAAATGTGGCCACATCCAGGTGCTCTGCCCATGGGTCCTCTCGCAACAGCCCACAGCATCTCCATCCTCACTGCACCATGGCCCAGAGCCCAGCATAGCTGGTTCCTGGTGCTATTCAGGTATCGTCCCTCCAAGCACCAGCCACTCACGCTCCAGTCCACGGTGCTCCGGATCTGCCGCTCTGACTCGCTGCACGGGGCCCCCGGGGCAGGGGGTGGGGGTGCCAGGTGTGGGAGGCCAGACTTGGTGATGGCTTTCCTACAGAAGAGGAGACAGCTGAGGCCTGTAGCCTGAGCACTTCCTGACTCTACGCCCTCCTCCACTACCTGGGATCTCTGCCTTTACCATGACTTTAACCCAAAATCAAGGCAGGGACAACAGGGAGACGCTGAGGACCTGCAGGAAACTCAGCCCTTTGGGGTGTGCTGGCTTCATGGTGCTACCCAGAGCTGTTCATAAGTGTGGTGCCCTTGGGTCACACAGAGCTTCAATGCCCTGGCCCATGCCAGACCCCTTGGAGGTCACACCACTTGCCCTACTGGCCACAGCTATACCTACGCAAGCAGGGATCTCCAGGTCTGGGGTCCAGCTGACTTGCGCCGCAGGGCTAGCTGACGCCTGCGGGATAGTGGACGCACACGGGCAGGTATCACGGGGGCAGCCGGGGGGGTGCCTGAGGCTCTTCGGCCCCCAGGGCCAAGGTGCTGGCCTGAGGGTCGATGCTGGCTGAGGCGCCGATAGTAGCCGTGCAAGCCCCAGAGAGCATGGTCATATACTGCGTCCGCAGGGAGCAGGTGGGAGGAGGCTCGGCGTAGGCAACGGGGCACAGGCAGTATCGGCCAGGCACCCCGGTGTGGGGGTGACCTTGGTGTTGTGGTGCCTGGCTGGGTGGCACTTGATGTACCAACTGCCACATCCTTCTCCAGGACCCCCTCCTCTTTCTTCATACCTGCAAGCCCGGCTAACAGCAGGGGTGCACCCAGGAGCTGGGCCTCAACAGTGGCCAGCTGTGGGGCGGATGCCGCATTTACAAGGAAGCGGGGATTGCAGGCAGGGGGCACAGTGCTGGAGCGCCGGTGGCTGGAGCCCCGGATCCCCACCCCGCAGCTTGGGAGGCAGCCCTGGAGCTGTGCACTGGAGCGGCGCCGCTGTGCCAGTGAGTAGGAGGCCTGCCCAGCTGGGGAGCGGCGCCGGGCCTTGCCTGTGGGCAGCCCTACTACACAGGGCCGCCGCTGCCTCTCTCCAGGACCTGGTGCCTTTCGCTGGAAGTGTCTCCTAAAGAAGGTCTCCATGGAAGGGGCAGGCACGTGATGGCTGTTGGGCAGAGACCTGGAGCATCAGCAATTGGACCAAGATGTGGCCACTCTGCAACCCAAGAGCCCAGTCCCACCCTCTGCCCCCCAAGCAGAGACGCAACACTTGGGAAGGAGAGGTGGGGTAGCTGTGGCCTCTGATCTCCATGAATGGGGTGCTCTAGGGTACCGGAGGCAGGGGATTCTATTTATATCTGTTGCAACACCGGCATTCTTCCTAGTTATGTCCTAGGCTATCCCAGGAGTCCTAGGTAGGCTGCCCACCCCAGCCTCCCTTGCCTAGGAACCATAATCCATAACACCCTGGGCCTGAAGGACCTTGGCACCCTTGCCAGAAGCTGATGGAAAAGAAAAGAGAAAACTGGGAGAGTCTGCCTAGATGGACTATGGGCCTAGGGCAAGGTTTTCCCTCTCACTAGGCATTTGTTTTGCCATCAACATCAGACAGGTTAGGTTTGCTCTCCTGAGATATGGCAAAAACCAAGCTATGTTAATAAAACCAGGCTTTCTGCAAAGAAACTCAGATTTAGTCAACCTGAGGCTGGTACCCAGAAATGGAAAGGGTCTGATGTCTGGTTCAAAAGTCAAAGGTCCTGTGGAAACCAGGTCTCACAAAACTGGAGAGTTGCTGGCTCAGTAGGGAGAGGAGACTCACCCATCTTCCTTCACTTGTGGGGGATGCCTGAGCCAGAAGAAAAGCCTCAGGATTTTGGGTGTGTGTGTGTGCACATCTGTAGATCTGAAGGGCTGATGACAAGAATTTTCTGGAACTCTACTGCTATGCCTTACCTTTCTGAAGGGGCAGAGTATAGAGACCCCATATGTGTGCCTGAAAACCACATGTGTGAAGTGCTAAGTGATGCCTGAAAACCCTTCTTGCTCTGCCATTGAGGGAACCCATAAACTGCACACTGTCCTGGGCCCTGATGCTGAAAGGCCCAACACTCACAATTCCAAACACTGAGCCACTCAATAGCCTGCAGGAAGCTGGGCACCATCCTTGCTCCAGTGGCCTCCTTAGACCGGCTCCCTCCCTGCCCTTCCCTTCTTTGCAGGCTGCTGGCATTGGGTTCCTGTGTTCTCACCTCTCCTAATAGTGGGAAAAGGGTAGAAGGCCAGGTATGGCTCAGGGTGGCAACACCCCAGGTGCTAGGGGCTGCCTGTGCCCCACATCAGGGGCTCTCCTGGGGCTGGACCACTGGGCCTGGGGAGGGGCTAGAAAGGGGATGCATCCTAGACCCTGATAGTCAGAGTGAAGTTAGAGCCCTAGTTATGGGACAGTGCTGCCTGGGGCTGGGAGGAGAAATATGTTGACCTGCTGAAGGTCGGGTAGCAGTTGGGCATGGTGGGTGGTACCCTGGGAAACAGTGGGTGGGAGGAGGATTAAGGCAGAGATGGTGGCTTCAGGAGTCAGGCCAGGGACACATGTCCACTGCCTTCTCTTTCCACCCACCCTGCTCTCTGATTTGCTCTTGCCCTGTAGATCTGGAGCAGGCAGCTTCAGGCTGGGGGCAGGGATGCTTAGGGTGAGGCAGATGGGGCCACAGCATTTGAGTGTTGGTGATCAGGGCTCAGGTGTGGCACCTGTGCCTGGGGAAGGAGAATTCAGGGCAGTCTCTGCCTATTAAGAGTCCCCAGCAGCTCCAGATGAGAAGGTTGGGGCTGTGGTCTCATGACTCCAAAAGGTGCCCCACTCAAATCAGACCAACTGGGCAAGAGGGAGCTACAGGGGTTGGGGAGCAGGCATGTAGATAATGCTTGACTTCCTCCTCAAATCAGTATCAGCACAGCTTTTACTGAGCCACTACATGTCAGGCACATTTTATAAGCCCTAAAACCCCAAGGAGCAGATAGTGGCTCACATTACATTCTGATGAGGAAACTGAGATGTGAGAGGTGATGTGCCCAAAGTCCTAGGAAGTCAGTATGGAGCCAGTGTTGGGACCAAAGTCTACCTGATGGCGAAGCCTGCACCTCAGAGGGACTGAGGCTTTCCTCTTGGGCCACCAAGGCTGGGACAATGGTAAGGAAGCATAACAAGGATAATGATGACAGAACTTACTGTTCCCCTCTCGTATGAACAGCCCTGGGAGAAGGACTTTAATGTCTCATTGCTCCCTATCACATTACAGAGATGAGGAAACTGAGGTGCAAAGAGGTGCAGTAACAGGCCCACACCACATGGCCAGTCCGGCGGAGCTGGGACCTGAACCCAGGTCTGCCTGACTGTAGGTCTGCTCTGCACCTAAGAAAGAAGAGATGGGAGGCCTGACCGCTGGCTGTTGCCAGAGTGTCTGCTTTCTATGGCCACCCTGTGACAGCTGCCTGGCCTGGAGGAGATTAGTCACCCGGACACACCACCTGATGCTAGTGTCACCCAGAAAACAAAAGGCCACAGTCTGTGAGGGGGAGGTGCTGCTGCTCTCTGTGGGTGGCGGTGAGGGCTGGGCCCTGCCTGCTGTCCCACATTCACACTGACAACCGGGCTAGGACATCCCAGTGACACGGACCACTCACAGGTGCTTCCACAGTGCTTAGCCCCACACACTGTCAGGCAGCCCCAAGTCCACATCTATCCAGGAGTCTCCTTAGCTGCCTGAAGTGCGCCCTCCCAGCAGAGAGCAGGCAGGCCAGGCCAGCGAGAGCTGCACGATCACATACAAAACCATCTCACCGGCCTCAGTTTCCTTGTTTGTCTGAGCAGGTTGTGAGACTGGCTGATTTCACATTTTATGACAGTGTCTCCTGCCAGGCACCCGGGCCTCTGTGCTCCCAATGTCCCTCCCCCAGGGCCCCATGCTTCCTGTTCCTCTGGTCTCCATAGAAACCTCTGTCCTCTGGTCAGCAAGTGCCTGCCTCCTTACTTCCTATGTCTGCTGGGGCTGTCCCTGGGCCTTGCTTGCAGGAGCCCAGCTTGGGCCTGAGGCTTCCTTCACAGTGCAGTGCTACATGGTGGTGTCTTCTCACCTCACGCTCTCTGTCACCTCCAACTCACCACACAGTACATGTAAAGGTCACTGGAGGTGGTCCCATAGGGCTCTGACACCAATAAGCATAGCAAAACGGCTGCCCCTGGCCTTCTGGTGGGGACCCAGGAAGACAGGATAGGAAAGGATTCATGGGCCCCCATCAGCCTCCAAGTGGCTACCAGGGCCTGGCAAGGGCAGGGCTATGGAAGAGCAAAGGATGTGAAGAGATAGGCATGGTGTATGGCCACCCAAGGTACAGTGACTGTGGCTGCAGGGGGATGGTTACTGCTTCCTCAGCTACTGGCAAAAGCAGACAGGCCTCCTTGCCCCCTGGCCCAGGCCAGTGCACACCCTGTGCTATAGTTCAAGGGTTTTGGAATCCTATATCTGCCATTGCCACTCTCGGCTTATCTACAAACCTTTCTGAGCCTCAGTTTTCTTATCTGCAAAATGGAAATTATACCACCTACTTCAGAAAAGTGCGTAAGGGAGGTTCTGATGCAATGATGAAGGTGGGGTACCTGACAATGCCAGGCAGAGAGTAGGGGCATGACAGGGCCCACATCTGTAAGGCATGTGATAATGCTATCTCCTTGGGTTTGTGTGCCCACAGTAGGGTGGGAACTCTGAAAGGGAAGCAGGAGTGCCCAATGTGACCACCCCATGAGGAACAGAGCTGCAGCCAGCACCACCTGGGTACATGCTCATGCTATGTGGAATGTCCTTTGCTGCTGATACCAGGCCTAGGCTCCAGGGACTCCTCTCCCAGAGGTGCTCTCACAGGCCACCCATGGGGTTCAGCCAGAGTGCTCATTCCATGCTGTGGGCAGGACCCACATATCCCTGCTTGGTGAAGGACAGTCAAGGTGCATGGTGATCCCACTTCTGGCAGCCCCAGAACAAGGCCTGAAGCTGTCTCCTCTGCTTGCTCTGCTTCCCACAGCCCCTGTCAGAGGGAGGAATCAGGAAGCGGGACAAAGGCTGGCACCTGCCAGGACCAAGCAAGCCTAGGGGCTGAGGAGGCAGATGCCAATCTCCCAGGCCCCTACTCACTCTGGGGAGCCTGTCAAAATTAAAACAAACAAACAAATATGCACATGGGAGCAGGTGGGCCAGGTAAAGAAGGCCACCAGCCCAGTTTAGGCTGACCTCAACTGGGTCTGCCCTGGGGCAAGCAGGAGCTCAACCCCTAGCCTTACCACTTTCTAGCAGCTCCAGGGGCCTGGCAGAGCAAGACCCTCAAGGAGGGATGATAGTGCCTCTGGGCGCACCCTGATCCACCCTCCCCAGACCCACCCACACAGAAAGAAGAGGAGAAGCAAAGGGCAAGGAGAGGCTGGGGAGCCCCTTTTGACCTGATCTGGAAGGCAGGGCGTGGGTGGGAGCTGGGGTCCCCGTGGGCCGGGCTCTGGCTCCAGCTCCGGGCTGCCGGCCTCTGCTGAGCAAGTCCTAGTTTGGAGCCCGAGCTTCTGTGGCTGCTCCTCTGCCCCCTCCCCCTCACCACCCTCCTCCTCCAGCCTGAGACAGCCGTTATGAAAATAACCGATTGGTAACCGGCTGCACTTCCTCTCCCAGCGGCGGCTCCAGGCCCTGCAGCAGGCAGCCGGCTGTGGGTGGGCGAGTGAGCATACAGCCAGGCTGAGCGACAGCCCAGTAGCCTCCCCTCCACCTGGCCCAATACAATCCAACCCATGCCTCGGCTTTGGGACAAGGTCTAAGGAGGGAGAAGCGGAGGCCGGCCACCAAATGCCCTCTCACACCCACAGGATGGGTTTTCTGGGGTCGGAGGCAGCTAAGCATACCGGCTCCAGACAAAACAACCACAAAAATAAATATCTGTGGAGTGTTTCACAACTTAGAAAGCATTTTTCCACCAGCATTATAGACAGGAGGTTGGTAGTTCCCCTTGCAGGAGGCATTACTGTCCCCACTGAACAGACGGGCACTGAAGCTTGTAGAAGCCTGTGACTTATACCCATGCACAAATGCCTGAGCTGGGGACTCCAGAGCCTTGGTCTTCTGGCCCTGCCAAGGGGGCCTTTCAGAGCTGCCTAGGCTCTGCCAAGCTCCAGAATGCCCTCCAAAGAAAGGCCAGCCCAAGTTATATATGCCCTGCCTGGAATGCCACCCCTAGATCACAGTCCTGTCATGACTCCCTGGGGTCTGGAGTGACAGCTGTCAAACTTCTTGACCCCTAGAGCCCATTACACTCAAGACCCATCACATGTTAATATAAATAACATACTTTTATGAAATATAAATGATATTTTCTATTTTTTTTTTTTTT